TTTGAAGAATACTGGATGCACAAAAATATCTTAGGAAAACTTCAAAATGACAGAATTGTATTTAACCAAGAAATATTTGACAATAGCAGGGATATTAGAACATAAGTTTGAACTTTACTGTAAAAAGCACTATTATATCTAGTATAAGCCATTGTTAATTGTTATATTTACTGTTATTGTTATTATTGTTATTGATAATAAAATCATTACTAGTTAATAAAAAAAAAATCTATCTTTGGCTCTTTCTGTTGGACCTTGGCCCTATTCTTTTCCGTTTCTTAATCCTAAAAACAGTCTGTAGGACTCCTTGGACAGGGGATCAGCCCGTCGCACAACACAAACAGAATAAAAGCATACAGACATCCATGCCTCGAGTGAGATTTGAACCCACGATCCCAACGTTCGAGCGAGCGAAGACAGTTCATGCCTTAGACCGCGCGGCCACTGTGATCGGCTGGGTCAGTTATAAAGGGAATGTACAGTATTGTACACGATTCAAACGTCGTTTCATATAACTTATATCGGTACATCTATGTTCATTTCCGCAGTCTTACTGTATCACAAACAACTTACGAAGACTAAAACTTTTAACTGCGCTGAACTGTTACATGGCTGTTTCAATAAAAAGTTCCCAGTACGGTGATCTGTCTGAATCAAGTCTGTAAGTGTGGATAATATGGAATCCTGGCACATAGGATCCTAAGCTACCCCACGGAAAACCATCACACAATACGTCACTGATTCGAAAACAAACTCTGAAGTTGTACATCGTTCTAATGCAATGCTGTGAACGCACTCTGGACGACGTTTTATGCAACTATCGGAAAACTTTTTAAGCTGTGTACAAGTGTCATGATTATTCTCAATGAAGCACTTACATTCTTATTTTATGTAAGAGCCGGGATAGCTCAGTCGGTATAGCGACTGGCTATAGGCTAGACGACAAGAGGGATCGGTGTTCGAGTCCCAGTATGGCCAAGAATTTTCTCTTCTCCACGTCGTACAGACCGCCTCTGAGACCCGTCCAGCCTCCTTATCCAATGGGTACCGCTGGCTCTTTCCCCAGGGGTAAAGCGGTCGGGGTGTGACGCTGACCACTCACCTCAAACTAGTGCCGAGGTCAAGTAAATGTGGATCTATACATCCACTGCCCCATACACCTTCACGGCGTAGTGCTTAATTAGTCAAGTACAGGGACAACTTTATCTATGTGAATGGATGATACTGTCTTCTGAGATGTGACGTCGTGAAGTCTTGTAGATGTTTACATATGTTCGAGGGGTACGTATTGCCAAATTTTTTACGTTGAAGGTTGAAGCTACACGTTCCTCCGAAACGTCGGTAAACATCTATTGACTACATGATGTCAAGTACTATTCAGGCTATATAAGTAAAATCATACTTTTACTCAGCAGATTAAAGCACGTTCGCCCGAAACGTCGGTAAACATCTAGCCAGCTACGTAACATCACATATCAGACAACAGTAATACGAAGGGGGACCCAAAAATAACCGGAACCGACCTGTTGCGCGGGCATGCTTTGTAGTTACGAGTTGTGCTGCTAGGTGGTGTTAGCTGGGGGTCTCCCGCGACTGTTAGTGAGCTGGCGTCAGTCTGAGTTAAGTGGTTTGTCTGTGGTGCTCTGTTGTGTGCGTTCCTGTTTCAACCCTTTGGCGATTAGTGAGATGGCCGACCAGAAGGAACAAAGAG